GCTCATATGTTCTCAGATACTGCCTGTGTTGTCCCACCTCCATATATGAGTGGCGACAATTTGAGCACGCACCAGCTATGGCGTGCGTACAAGGTATTGAAGAAGGAGGATCCTGGGGTGGGACAGAGATTGACCTCGGGCATAAGGACATATTATGCTCGGGCGCTCCTTTTTTATTTTTTGTATCACGTGATAGCACCTCCTATCCCTTTCCAAAAAATCTTCCATCAAAATCCCCATATTCAAGAAAAGGACACCGAGGACCTCTGACGTGGGCAGCTCAGCCGACATGTGCTATCCACGTCTCTCGCTAAAAGGACGCCCTTTTTAAGAACAATGTACGGTGACACCCGCCGTGTCATATCATGTATCATGGGGTGTCCCCCTCACCATATGTAAAGCGTGGGGGTGGGGCGGGATGGAGCCACCGCCTCAACGCTATTATAAGCATCTTGATAGGACATTGGAGACAAATTAATGTCCAGAAGAAAAAAATGCCTGTCCTTTGTTGTTTTTTTACGTTCGACGGGTCGCGAAGTTGATGGCTTCAAGAGTAACAGATCCCGGGCGAAGCGTCGCAGCCATTTGAGAGACTTGATCACGTTCAAGGACACTGACACTTGGACTCTCCTCTCCCAGTTGTCATGTGTTCAACATAGTCAACATACGCATGTATGTTTGGCAATCAGATGTTTCCATTCATAAAGTTGTTTTTTAAATTACATAATTTACATACCAGTGTCAGATCCGTTGACGCGTACGTGTCAGCTTTGACCTCCCGCCGCTCCATCGCCCGTAACATAAAAAGTCCTAAGATCGTGTGGTCACGTCCCCGCCCGCTTGGCTACCAGTGAATGCACATGATTGTTTGGTTTGTTTTCGGCCTGTTTCTGCTGCTGTAGGAAGGTCACGTGCTCGAATGTAAATTCCAGGCACGTGACCGTAGCGCCAAAAGTGAAGGCTTTTTGTGGTGGTGTGCTTCTTGTTTGCTAATCGTGACGGACATTTTGGCCCTTTTTATTATCTCCCCTCGACTGAGCTTCTCATCTTTTTCATACTGTATCTTCGTTGACTTTGCAAACAATTTAGAGGCTAGGCTCTCGATGTATTGGGTGCAAGACTTGGACCGTTAAATGTCCAACCTGTACGATATTTTTATGTTGATACGTGCGGTTATAAATGTTTGGACTTGAGGCTGAAACTCTCCCTCCCTCACAAAGACCTACAAGACATAATCTGTGTACATATGTACCAAGCAAAGATTAACTGTTGTTTATCCTTGCCTCACACAGCACTCCGCTCGACTGAGCACCTGGAGCCCCGCAGTCTTTTTTCCAGCAATAAAGACTTTTAACGATCCCCTCTCTTCGCCTCGATCCTGTCCAACCATGCGTTTCTCTCTCACCACCGTTACTGCCACGGCGCTCTCCCTCCTCCTTGCCACCACGCACGCCGCGGAGTCTATCAAGGACGAGCCGCTTGCCATGTCTACCCCTTTCATCCTTGCCCGACAACAAGCCTTGCTCCCTTCCTCCCTCACGCCCTCCGCCCCTCCCTCCGCGAAACTGCGAGGCAGTGAAAAAGAGGGCGAAAAGGACGAGAAAGCCCTGGCAGTGTCGGTCGACAATCCTGGATCAGACAAGATGGGGCAGCAGGGTTTTTGGAACGTCTTCTACAGCACGGGCGATCGCAACATGATTCGGTGCGGAGGGTATCCGGATGGGGGAGGGCGGGCAGGATGAAGGGACCAAGGGAGGAGAAGTAGCAGTAGAGGTGACAGGATGAGGAACCTGTCCATATCTTTCGCTACTGACTTCAAAAACCTTTTCTCCTCCTTCCCTCCCTCTCCCGGCTCCCAGCGACCTTGGCAATAACCGCATGTCTTTCACGATCGCCCCCTGGGAGGAGAGCATCGCGGCGCAGAGTTCTGTCAAGTACCATGGAGGTCGACTGGGGTTCAAGGTGTGTAGCTTTCGCCTTCTTTTTCTCGCAGTCCCTCCCTCCCTCCCTCCCTTCCTCCCTACCTTCCTCCCTCTCAGACCCCGCGCAGACAATTAATGTGCGCCGTACTTTCCATCTCAACTTTTCTCGTGTGGCTCTTGTTCCTCCGACTTACCCCGAATCCGCCCATTTTCCAGGTCAAATCGGGGGCGGTCATGCCTGGCGTCATCACGGCCGTTTATTTTGCGTCGGGAGACGGGCGGACTGGGGATTCGTCGCTTGGAAGCCAGGTAGGGAGGGAAGGAGGGAAGGAGGGAGGGAGGGAGGGAGGATAGAGAGAGGGGATGTTTAGGAAACCGAGGCAGGA